CTGTTTCAAATGTTCTTCTATCCCATTCTGAGATCCCAGCTCAGTGAACAGTGGTGCCTTTTCAACCTTTATGGTTCATGGTTCCTTAGCTCCTTATCTAAATTAGGTTAAATCTCAATCACTGTTTTCTTTTTAGCATTTACCATGATTTGTTCTTGTGATTTCCTTGTTTACCATTGTATCTAACACTAGCACAGTAATAGTACAAAAAAGGTATTCACAAAATGTTTGTTGAATAAATGAATTTTGTTTCCTTAAAATTGATTGAAATTGGGGTGGGGGAAGCTGGTATAAGTGCAGGTATTTTTGAAACGCAGTTCTTCTGAAGGCTCTCACAGCCCTATGGACTGATGACAGATATCACCCCTGGTGGGTTGTTTTTTTTCTTTTAAGGCTCACCTTGAACTTTGGGGTCGCTTATGTCCCACTATGTGATAACATCTTTGCCAAGTAGTTTGGACTTGGGGGCATGAAAGGTGCTTTATGAATGTGAATTATAAACACAAGTCACGGGGCCAAGAAGCTAAAGTAAATGGGTTATATGTTAAATTCCAAGGAGTTTTAATTGTATTTTCATTTTAGGAAGGTAAATTATTTATAGTGTGTAATGATTTATTTTTAATCTAGATCTCAAAAATCAAGTGCTTATTAGGGACCGATGAAAATGGAAAGGAATCACATATGAAGAAATTAGATGACCGATAAGCATCTCCACCATCCAGCAGTGGATTCAGTAATTAACCAGTATCTCCATTCACCTTATCAGTTCACTTTTAGGTGCACATCACACTTACTTCATTGCCTACCTTGTTGCTACTAGTTCAATCTACTGATTGAGTATAAATAATGTATATAGTATTTAAATCAGAAACATTTTGGTGTAGCACTTACTATTTGCACGTCACTTTGCAATTCTATTTATTTCCAAAAATTCTAAGAGATGGCTGACCATTTCTCTTCCTTTTCTACAAATGGAAAAGCCACATCAGCGGGGGACTGAAATGATGTGTCCAAGGGCACTTGTAACACATATTAATATAAAATTTCATTTTGTCAAGTGATAAAAGTTGCCTCCAGCATCCAGAGAGAGCCTGAACGTTTCATCAGCTCCCGGAGAGGGAGCGGCCACCCTACCCCAACCCGCAGGAGCGGTGGGGCTGGACTGCTCGGCTTTCTCTCCAGAGCCTCAGTACCATCTGCCCTGAGGCCACCAGCTTCTGTCATGTATCATCAGGATAGAAATGTCCCAGGCTGACACATCTGATTTATATCAGTCCCCAAAGCAGTCCCTGGCTCCCCTGTCATTCTCCAGTCTGACCCCCACCCCCACACACGGCTTGGTGTACCCCTTTGCCCTTCTTCGTCCTTGAGCTTTCCCAACTCCCACCCCTGTGACTTCAATCCACTCCCAGGGTCCTTCCCCCTTTCTTCCCTCCCTGAAACTGGCTCCTGCCCTGGGACACCACTTCCTCGGCCGCTCCCTCACATGTTTTCTGCACACTTCATACTACCAAGCATTGCTCCACAATGCTCCAAGTGTTGGGACAGTTCTCTCCTCTCCTGAAACCAATCCTCCAGCCTTGAGTTTCGAACTGTCAGGCTCCACTGGGTGCTCTTTCTCCATCTGCAGGCAGCTCCTGAGCCCCACCTCCCTCTCCCCAATCTCCGCCCCCACTCTCTCCCTGCTCCCTCCTGACGGCATTTCTTGGAGCTGCAGTTTGTGACTCAACAGAACTCTCTCCAAGTTGGCTCTGGTGGTAATTCTGGAGGGTTTCAATGTCCACATGGGCCACACTTCCGACACCCTGGCTTCCTGAGTCCGTGACCTCAACTTCTGCAGTCAACTTTTCCTCTATCCTAACTCGGCCATCAGCACTCCCAGCCCTCCCCCGGCCCCACCATTGCCAGTCCCTGCAGGCCTCCACAGTCTCAATGTCAAGGATCCCATTCTTCAGCCAACATCTGCTTTTCCAGCTAAACCTTGCTAGTCCTTCAATTCCCAAAACTCTTTGGACCCACTGGGACCTGGAACCAACCGACCAACTACCTTTCCCATCCCCGTCTCTTCTCATCCCACCTCTCTGCTCTCCTAGCTGGAAACCAAACTCCAAATTGAACCCAACTCTCTGTTTTCTGCACCTGTGCCTATACGGCTGAATGCGACAGAAAGACACCAGCCTCATGGATCTCACTCCAAACTCATTCCTTTCCCAATTTTATTACTCCCTACCCTCCTAAATGACGATTTCACTATCCTTTCGTCTCCCTGGAAGGCTCTACCCCCATGTGCGCTCTCAGCTGCCAACTGTCCCTCCCGTCTCACCGAGAAAAGAGGGACAGCAGTAGCAACCACCCTGCATATTCAGCCGCCCCCTCTGCCGCCAGGCTGAGCCGTGCCTACTCGCGTCTCAGGTAGACACTCGACTCGGCAGCTGTGAGCCAGGACGTTGTTCCCAACGGTCTCTCCTCTCCCCTGCGTCACCAACCCCCTACTCCTCTACAGAGTCACTCCCATCGGCCCATCAACATGCCTCAGCTTTTCCTGTAAAAAAAGAAAAGGATCTTGATTCCACATTCCCCCACCCCAGCTGCCTCATGCTTGGCTTTCCTTTACAGCTGAATTCCTCAAAAAAGAAGTCACCAGTATTTGCTCTCTCCCATTCCTCTTCCTTCTTTGCACATGAACCCAATTCAAGCAGGCTTTCAGCCCTGCCATCCCCTGGTCAAGGCCACCAAGGACCTCCAAGTTTCAAATTCCAATGTTCATTTCTCAGCCGGCTCCTGCTTGGTCTCATGGAGCATGGATGATCAGCCTTCCTTCCTAGAAATGCTTCCTGCCTTTGGCTTCCAGTGCACACTCTCCTGGATTTCTTCCCACCTTACTCCAACCACACCTCGTATTTTATAATGCTTTTTATGTGAAATGAGCATTACAGAGGGTCATGTCAGAACTTCTGTACTCGCTTTATTCTCTATCTGGAAAGCTCCTTTTCCAGACGTCACCAGGATGCTTTCCTGCACTCTCTTCAGGTCCTCACTCACAAATCACCTGCTCAGTGAGGTTCTTCCTGACCACCTTATAGAAAATTCACCTCTTCCCCCTGCTACCACTACCCCCTTTTTGGCTTTATTTTTCTCCATGGCCATAACAACCACCTAGCATAATGTATATTGAACATGTCTGTGTGTATATAGCATAACGGTTTTCCACTGATGGGTATTCCTTTTTCACTCCTATATCCTGATAACTGAGAATGGCATATAGCACCTGAGGAGGTACACAGTGAGTATCTGCTGAATGAAAGGAAAGAAGGAAGGAAGGAAGGAAAAGTGTTTTTTTTTCTTCCATGAAATAAAGATCAATATTGCTGTATACCTTGTCCCCATGTTGCACAACTAATCAGAATAATATTGATTTTGATTATGGCTTGATTAAATTTCTAGGAGAATGCAAAGTGGCCTGACTTGTATGCAAATCTAAGATGATTATAGTTGGCTTCTTTCCCTACTAATCACCAATGACTCTAACACAAATAGGGAAATAATTTGCAAATATTGGTACAAGTTAGAAGAGAAGGCTCCATTATCTGAGCAGAAATGTCAGGGCAACAATCAGTAATTCTTACTTCAAGAAATCTCTCAGGCTTTCACAGGAAAATGGCTGGGAGATGCATGTGTTTTCCTAAATAGGTATGTGTGAGGGAGTCAGTTATTAACTCTTACCTGCAATGGAGGATAACTGATTTTGCTTATATTTGAATAAACACTTATGCCTGCTGAATTCTGGGAATAGGCAGTATGAAAACACAAAGGAGACATTCTGAAACCTGTTAAATCAAGGAACTGGAAATAATTCTAGTTTTTTATCCTCCCCCAATTAGCTCCTTTCTGTTTTTAATCTAATATTGGACACAGGCGTCCAACTTTGCAACATACACATACCAAAGAAAAACACACCCACCATAAACTCATTGACAAAACTCATCTCCCTTTGCACGTTCCCTGGTCAGACGTGACAAAGATGACCTTTGGGGGTAAAAACCAGTAAGAGAGGGTGAGGTAGGTCATGCCCCATGTCATCAACTATTTGGTGTGAGTATTTCAAGAATAATTTGACATCAAGATTTCACATAATACTATGGAAGCTGTAATTTTATACAAAGATTAAGAAATTTATTTGTACACAGGCAAAGTGCGCGTGCGTGCGTGTGTGTGTGTGTGTGTAATTCGGCACCCTGAATTATTTACTTAGCACATCTCTTTAAAATCTGACATGTCACCGAGCACCACAGTATTGAAGTAATCTACTTTTTTTTTTTTAAAAAGATTTTATTTTTATTTATCTGACAGAGACAGAGAATGCGAGAGAGGGAACATAAGCGGGGGGAGTGGGAGAGGGAGAAGCAGGCTTCCTGCAGAGCAGGGAGCCTGATGCGGGGCTCGATCCCAGGACTCTGGGATCATGACCTGAGCTGAAGACAGACGCTTAACGACTGAGCCACCCAGCACCCCTGAAGTAATCTACTTTTAATGGGCCATCCTTTGTATGTATATAAGTCACGTGTTTGTATCCATAGAGAAAGCAGTTGCAGCGAGATATGGAGAAGGTGCACACCGTGCAAAGGTCTGGTGAGAGGGGCTGGTGCCCTCACCCGCAGACATCGCGTCAGGGCCGTCTGTGGCTCCTGGTCTCTTACCCATCATGCGTCCGGACACTAACTTGTTGGCTCTCCTGCCACCATGTTGTCCCTGCTTACCGCCAGCATCCTGAGGTGAAATGCTCCGGCAGATAGCAGATGTACCAATTAACAACCTGTCAGGTCTGATGGATAGAAGAGGAAAAGAGCGTCCTCACACATATCTGCAGTGTGGCTTTCTTCCCCGTTTTAGGGCGCCAAGGGTCAGGAGACACACTCTGCCTCCCTGGAGAGAGCCCAAACTGTCTCATTAGTGTCTATCTTTCGCGACACGCTGGCACTGCCTTTGAGAGGCCCACTCACCTGCTCTTCTCCAAGAATCCTGAAGTGATGGAGCTCTTTAATCAAGGAGTTGGGGCAGCCAGCTGTTGGAGAACAGAATGAATCACAAACACGTTATTCCCATTCGGTGCGGTAATGGGTTCTTACGTGCACATATGACTAGCAGCGTCCAGTGTTGGGGGGGACGCAGATCCCCACCCGCACAACACATTCTAAGCAACCACACAAAGGCCACACCTCGGAGGGCACTATAGCTGCCGTCCAGTCCCCCACTGTGACACGGGAAGGAGCAGGTGAGCGCAGCCCAGCCTTTTCTCCCTCCTGACGGTGACCCGGGCTTTGTGGGCCTTTAGGCCACCATGTCATTTCTCCCCAGCATGTCATTTGTCCCTCATAGAGAGCCAGGATTCTGTGGGGCTGGAGTGGAAGAGTTGGTGAGTATAGGTTCATTGTGCTTATTTACCCCATCCTGTTTCCTCGCTCTGGCGGGGGGGGCGGGGCGCGTGCTGCACACAGAGAACTAAGAAGGAAGATGGGGCAGCTGAATACCGCATCTTCACAGGATTTGGTTGTAGTTTAGAATCTTGCCTGGTTCTTCCAGGAGGCTCTGTCAAGGCCAGAGGGATTCTGTCTTTCAGTTTGGAAAGGGGCTCTTATGGAAAGGACCTGGGAGGAAAGCCAGGATAGTCAGGGTGCCCATGACCTTCCATTCTACCCGGTTGGTAAGAGCCTCTTCAGGCTTTCCCACTTTCTTTCTCCAGTTGTAAACAGAAATAAGTAAATAAATTATATGTATGCATGCCAGTACATGTTTAGTCGTCATTTAATTATGTTCCATCCCTGTCCTTTTAACTGAATAATTGTACGTATTAGTTTGTAGTCATTTATGATATTAACTCTAGTAACAAAAATTGATAAAAAAGCTCACTTCTTAGATACAATCTATGGATTACATAATCTGTTGAAGTTTCTATTAAGGAATTGGGTTGTATGCAAAATACACCAAAGCAATCACTGTGCTGTTGTTCATGTTACTCAGCCTTGTGATGTAAGAATAATGGAAAGTACTGAGGACGTGGACGTCTATCTGGGGAGGGCAGGCTGAGGAAGGAGGGAGTTGTCATCTTCACGGAGGTGAAGGAGTTATCCTTTGCAAGAGAGATTAGATTTGTGTTTTATTCTAGAAGGTAGGATTAAAACTAAGAGGCAAAAATGACTGCAGTAGACTTTTGTTCAAAAGAAAAGAAATTTCTGACTTAAAAATGGAATACATTGCCTGATGAGCTAGTAACTGTAGGTTTTCAGACACAGGCTAAATGACTATTTCTGCAGGATATTGTAGAGATGAATTTGACGGGGTCTGTTGCAATTCAGAAATTCTGTGGTCATGTAAAATGCTGAAACATGGTTTTGCTGTTTGATGTTATATTTGACATTGTCTTTGATATTACAACATTTCATACCTTGCGAGAGTGGTTTACAAATGCTTACCAAAGTAGTACAAAAGAGTTTTAAAAATATAAACAAAATCTAAACAGGCGATCTCACCATCTGACCGTAGACCAAGAAAATAAATGAAAATCCTGAGATGAATATTTTGGTGGAAAACACAGTATGTTAATTGCCTCCGGCACGTCCAATGTTATAAAGAAAGGAAGCTAGATCCTTGACATTAGAACCGTGTTTGTCCAACTGGATGCCACGGACATGCGGTCTGAAGGTTCTTTTTGAGATGTTCATATCAGAATTGCTATTCTGATAATTATCTAAACAATTAGGAGAAGTCATGCTGGATCATTCGGTTAGCCACAATTCAACTAAGAACTACGGTGGAAGTTCAGCCTCATCTTGGTGCTAGAATTTTAGATCATCTTGGGAAGAAGAGGTTCTGTGAAACCCATAAGGAAAGAGCCGAGGCAGAATTCTAGGGGTGCATTTCCAACAAGAGGGGGGCCGGCGGACTGGCACCAAGTGTAGGAGGTTCACGTGGCAGAGGCACCATGGGTGCAGCGATGTGGGCACGCACAGTTCAGGGGAACCTGGCCAACCAGCCCGGGCCTTGGTTGCATCCCAGGCAACAATTTAGTTTCAGCAAAATGCCAGCATCTGCGATATGAAATTCACAGAAGTTAACTGGAATGCTTTTGGTTTTGTTCTTTTATTTATATTTAATTTACTGATTTTCATTTGGGCCTTCCAGTTGTATAAGCATAAAATGTTTATGTCTAAATTTATATCTAGACAGATTTAAGAGATATTATTTTGTGAAATAGTTTTATTCAACCTTACTAGTTTTAGAGGATTTTTTAAAAACGTTGTCCTTCACATCCCTCAAATTTGAGAAAAACTGATTGGACTTACTTTAATGCCAGATAAAATAAGAACCAGAATTTAAAATTAGCCTGTCTTCAGGATTTGTATTCTAACATTCTCCTAAGATTCAAGGGTTGATGTCAATGAGAGTTCCAATAAAAACACCTTTCACAGAAGACTAGATAATTACCTGGCACACCTGGTAGGTGGAATAAAATATAATAGACAAGGACAGATATGGCATTAGTTAAAAGGGAAGACGTGTGAGGGGGTCAAGATATTTAAGAGACCACGGGAGGGGCACCTGTAACTGCGCTCGCCACAGGAACATCAGTGCGGGAAATGGACAGACACGAACTTCGTGTGAAGGCGAGTTTCAAAACCACAAAACCAGAAACACAAGACACACATGGAATTCAGTAGTGTGAGGAGGAGGGGTGGAGGCACCAGGAGGAAGAAAGAGCCTGGCAGAGGAGGACTACATGGAGAGTGTTGTTAATGGTGGAGCCGCACTCTTGCTTTCTCCAAATTCCTCACTCAGAGCCTCCACGCGCATGGCAATGGGTCATCTTCTGGAGCCACGGTTGTCTACTTGGACCAGTCAAATCCTCACGGTGCCCAGTGTCCTCTGCCTTCAGGTCCCCGAGGGGAGATCTTTTCTCAAGATGACAGAGAAAAGGCTCCTATTAAAATGTGCCTGTGGTGGCGAGCCTGGGTGGCATACTCCGTTGAGTCTCCCACTCTTGGTTTCGGCTCAGGTCATGATGTCAGGGTCGTGGGATAGAGCCCTGTGACGGGCTCCCTGCTCAGTGTGGAGTCCGCTTGAAATTCTCTCTCTCCCTCTCCCCCTGCCTCTCCTGCTCGTGTTCTCAGTCTCTCTCCAATAAATAAATAAATATCTAATGTCTCCTGCCATTTGCACTTGCCGCTCCCTCTCTCCGGAGAGCTCTTGGCCCCGACATCTGCATGGAGGGCTCCTCCTTCAAGTCTTTTCTCAAATGTCACCTTCTCAGTGAGAGTGTTTGGGGCGGCCCTGCGTGAAACTGCAGCCTGTTTTCACCCCCACGCCCTCCTCACACTGTATTTTCTCCAGAGTGAAATCATCTTCGAATGTACCCTACACCTCATGTCCTTTATTTTCTGTCACCTGCTGCTGAGATGCGAAGGTGACAAGTGTAGGGATGGGTGGCTGTCTTGTCATCATGGTATCAGCCATGCCCACAGTGGATGAGTCCCCTGCCATGTGCTCACGGTCACCCAGCAGGGCAACGGTGGCACCTGGGAGGGGCTCCTGCTCTACCCTCCCCTTTTCTCCTCCCAGAGGCCTCTGCTCCGACCTCCAGCCATGACGGTGCTTTGCTTATTGCTTATTGGTGAAGTGGCCTTTTCTGACCTCTCACCTCTCATGTTCTCCAGGACTCCGCACCTGCTTTTCCTTCTCTGGGTCCGCTCTAGCCAGTCACTGCTAGTGCAGCAAGTGGGGCTAGAAGTCTAGCAGAAATCATGCCATCTACCCGACGCAGTGTCCCTGCTGAGTGCGGTGTGCGGTGCTGCTTTGGGGCCCTCTCCTGGTCAGGCCCCTGGCTGTGGCTGGCCCTTCACCTTTTTTTGGCCAGCACCTCTCTCACCACCCTTGGGGACTCTCCAAACCATCACCGTCCTTCTTAATTAACCTCTATCGCAATAAGATTTCACCTGACACAGGTGTAGAGCTCTTGTGAACGTGGAGGTGAGGCCCCCCATGCCCCGCAAGGAAGGACCATGGCCGAGCTGTCGCAGGACGGTGACAGAGCTGGGCCCTCAGCTGCAGACGGCTGCCTCATCTGAGGTCATGCGTTCCAGGGACCCCAACCTGCTGCCCAGGACAGGGAGGGGGACCGCTTAGCCACCATGGGCTGCCTTTGTTCCCAGGCTCTGTCAGGCCCGAATGACAGTGTGACTCCTTACTCCGCCCGATCTGCCCCTCCCCCCTTTCCCAGGTGCCATCCCAATAAACACCAGTAGTCTACCCCCTGCCTCGGACTTGGCTTCCAGAGAACGCAGTTGGTAGCTTTCAAGTGCACCAATCCTGAACTTCACATCCCCTCCCAGTCAGATCCCCCGTATCTATCCCTCTCTACTTCTCCAGACTAGAAGGGGAAAGGGCGTCTCTTTCTCAAAACAGGGCTCACTCTTCATCCATCACACCCTGTCCCCACTCAGCCCCTAGTAGGGCCAACTCACCACCCACTCACTCTCCTCATGCTCTGCCGCTCTGCGCCATGTTCACTTCAAACCAAGGAAGGATTCAAGTCTTCCCTTCAAATATTCAGCAAAAATCCGGCCTTGAGCATAGAGTTAGCACCTTCTCTTCCTTTCTCCTTTCCTCCAATTGTCTCTGAGGAAAAGCCTTCAGCCATCGCCACCACTTGAAAATAGCAACTGGAGATAGGGATTCCAGAAGGGAAATACCAAAATTGGGGGTTTCATGCCTTATAAAAAAGTTCCTGCAGTCACGGCCTGGATGGAAGCTCTAGTTCCATGTTAACTAGCTGGATCTGTGCTCCTGGATAAATTGGTTACTCCCACCGCCAAGTCCTTTTACCAAGAATAATCCCCATCTCTATCTCCAACAGCAGTTTTGAATGTGTGTGAAAGGAACACGGGATGACCAAAAGATTAGGAAGTGAATGTATTGCTAATGATTTTCACGGCGTTTCCACGTCCGATGATGGCTGCTCATACTTCTTGTAAAAATTTCCTGTATTTAAAAGGGAAGCGGCTACTTGAA